GCTGCGTTTGTGCGTGACGGGATGGTTGCTGAGGTAACTCAGCATACGCGAGTTATTCGTCGCCTTTCTGTAAACTGTTGTTTTGAGTTCCCATCTTCTTTTCTGCACACCAGCACGTCGAGGAACGGCAACTGGCAGTTTGTTTCTTCCTCCATCCTCCGCCGCGTGCTCGTGAATTCGCGTCCGGAGTAATCTCCTGGTTTCTCCGAAATAGTTGCGTTGTCCACAACTGTACCAGATCCGGTAAATGACTCCAGCCGTTTCCTGCCGTTGCAATGAGTCTGGTGAAGGGTTCAAGAACCAGGCTCGTAATAAAACAATTAGAACATTATGTATGGATAAGGTATGTGAAGTGGGGAACGTTCCCTTCGAGAAAACTCCATGGGTAAGGAGAAAATCAAACCGTGTCTCACGCTAATCCGTTTCGGCTACTGTATATGCGAGCTGTCGCCCTTAACGATCAAACTATTTGTTTCGCCAGCAGCAGTACATCATTTTTTGTCGGTCTTCTGCTTTGGTGTTAAATCAGACAAACACCTAACGGATGTGAAGGTTCGAGTTTAAGGTGTTTGCGTGAGCAAAGAAGAAGAAAAAAGTGATGGGGCACTAGAACAGTTGGTATACTGTTCTGAGCTTTTGAAGTCGAGCAATAGTCCATCGAATGAGATAACAGCAGCGGTCACAGAAAAGACTGCATTTATAGGACGTACGAGCCAATCAACGATGCTGACTTGGAGGTGGCTGCACAGGGCTCCGTATTGCGGCGCCAGATGGATGCACCAACTCATAGAATCCCCATCCCCATCAGTTTTCGGCTCTTCTTGTTTCTGACTTGGGCCGGCTGAGGAGTGGAACTGATAGCCCGTTTGCTAGTCCCGACCGCATTCACCTCCTCCAGACTTGCGTCATTGATTGGCTTGTACTTGTACCCCTTTTCTGCATCAGCTGCTATCACTCTGTCCAGCTTGAGTTCGAAAACTCAAAACGGTCAACTTTTGTGCTACTTAACCAGTCTTCTTCTTTACTCAGACAATCCACTGATACGTCACCTAGTAAACTATGTTTCTCAACTGGCTACATGCATTAGCACTTCCTTTTTCCGCCTTTAGGCTTTTCATAAACAACGTTCCTCAGTCAGTGAAGGATGAATGGAGGACAAACTTCGTGCGCATATTTGCCGAACTGGAGTTGGCCCACTGGTACTACCTGGACAACTGTCTCAAGGACGCCTCAGTGGGCATCGACTTCTTCGGATTTTGCCAACAGCGTTTGTTCTTTTCCTTTCTCTCCCCTTGACACACACGCTCCATAGTATTTGGACGTTTTCCGCACCTGATTCCCAAGAATACAAACTGGAAGGAGAAGTTCCAGGATTGGAAGTACTACCGTGGAACTACTGCCACAGGCAGTGCAATCATCTTGGATGAATATCTCTCTATGGTGCGTTCTGTTTGCGCGTCCTCGCTTAACTCACCGACTTTTTCCGCCTGCTCCTAGGTTTTACTCGTACAGGGCTTCAATAACGACCGGTGGACTTTTCCTGGCGGAAAAATTAATCAAAACGAGACCCTCCAGCAGTGCGCCATCCGTGAGGTAGGTCAAACTGGTCGTCAGACATAAGAGTGTTAACGAATCAGCAAGAATAAGTTATAGGAGCAGGAGCAGATCAACTACCAGGGGCGTCAGTCCGGAGATGCCTGCTCAGGGCGGTGTATACCGGCGCCAGATCGATGAATCGATTGATTAAGTTCTCATCCGAGACCCAGACCCGAGCTCAACACTGATCCCAGTTAGACCTAATGGCTGACTATATAATTACAGTCGGTTACGATCAAGGTCATAGCTTTTTCATTCGGCCAATTTCGTTCAATTCTATTTCGCTTGCTTTTGCTCATCTAAACCGTGTTATGACAGACAGTGTTCAGAGACCTGCTGTGCCGGAACTGGTTAGGAATGGGATTTCACATCCTGCCACCTGCAAGACAATGCACAGTGCTCTATTTCGTTCT